ACATAAAATATCACTTTATTCGACACCGGGGTAGAAGAAGGACTCCTCGTAGTGAAGAGGGTATCGTCGGAGGATAACCCAGCAGATCCACTTACGAAGGGACTGAGTAGGGTTAAGCACTTGAAGCACACTAGGAGCATTGGGCTGAAGGATGATATTAGTTTTGATTAGATTGTTTAGAAACATGTAATAGATAAATTGTAGTTAACATTCAATGATTAAATAAATGGGTATTATTTATTAGTAAAGTTATTGTCTTATGTTAATTCTTTACCTATTGTTTCATTTTGCATATTTTGACTTCTTGAATAATAAATTTATTTGAACGGTCCACAGTCGTTCATATGTTGGAAGTAGATATGAATGAAGACTGTCATGAATTGGTGTGTAGATTGTCTAAAGTGTATTAGACATAGAAAAGGTTTGCTACAACATTCATGAGTGCTTATGAATTAGATTTGAGCATTGGAATAAACCCACACTTGCTGGAATCACTTTATGGAATTCATCACGAGTAATTGCAATACAATAATATCATATGGTCTTAAAACCTAGATGTATGGTTTATTGTTTACTAATTGGTTATGCATTGATAATGCGTAAACACATCAGTAACTTTATGTTATAAAACACATTTTTGTGCATGATTTGATTAGTGAATAGTAAATACATATCAGTCGAAGTTTATCTGTTCCTTTTATCATAAGAGGGTAAAAGCGATATCAGGGCCCCTCGATGATTTGGTTTGACTTATGTGTCGGGCCCGTTCAAGACTGAATTGATGTGTTTAATTAAGTTGTATATCAAACAAATTTGAGATCGAGAAACAAACTGCTGGACAATAAGTATGACCACGTTCCATGTAATTGTCTGCAGGGATAATGACTTAAAAAGGTAATATATTTTTCGATTTGTATACATTTAGTCACTGAGTTTTTTTTTCGTCCACATTTACCTTTCAACTTGTTAAACTGTACATATTTAGTCCTTATGCCTGGCTATTTCAGGTTAGCCGGTAAAAATGACATAATCGGGTAATATATTTCTCAATTAGTACACATTTAGTCCTTAATATTTTTGTACACATTTAGTCCTTAATTTTTTTTTGTTGCAAAATAAGTCCTTTTTGTTTTTGTATTAATTCAGTACTTATAAATGAATTTTTTTAGGTTTTTTATCACGACATCTTATGTGGGATGGTCATATGGTGGTGGGATAGGTTAACATGGTCCTGCTATATGTTGTAGTCCAAGATACCTGGTGTGGGTCGGCTATAAGCTATAGTCACAAAGACTCGAGAAGAACGATTGGGTTAAGGCGGCATGCCAACAAAGCTTGGGTATTCCAGTCTGATGACTGATTGGACCTGTTGCATGTTGACATTCCAGTCTGATGACTGATTGGGCCAAGGTATTCCAGTCTGATGAGTGTGGGTCCATTAAGCATGATAATACGTTTGTTGTATCGGGTATTTTGGGGGAAACTTACTAAACTTTATGCTTACCTAGTTGTTTATGTTTTCAGGTTCTATTATTGGTCGTGGAAAGGAGAATGCATGATTGTACACACTCATCAACAATATTGAGGATTTCACATTTCTTATATTACTTCAATTTTCGATAAATGTATTTGGAATAGACATTTTTTCTTAATAATAGATTTCTAATTAGGGAGTTTTGCCTTATTTAAAAAAGAATTTTTTTTTGCTGTGAAAACAAGACATTACACATAAATATACACAACCTCATACACTTCATCAATGATTGTCCTACGTAAGATGTCCTGAGAAAAAACTAAAGAAAACATTTATAAGTAGTGAATGTGTACAAAAATAAAAATGACTTATTTTGAAACAAAAAAATATTAAGGACTTAATGTGTACAAAAATATTAAGGACTAAATATGTACAAAATGATAAATATATTACCTTATTAAGTCATGTTCCCGGCTAACCTGGAGTAACCGGTCATAAGGACTGAATGTTTACAGTTTAATAAGTTGAAGGGGTAAATATGGACGAAAAAAAACTCAGTGACCAAATGTGTACAAATCGAATAATATATTACCCTTTTAAGTCATTATCCCTTGTCTACACGATATCTAAAACAGAGGATTATACGATCCCTTATCTAAAAGACAGGTTACTGATAAGATCAAAGTTCGATAGCGTCTTTGAGAGCTATGATTGCTAATCGGATTGTATTTACATTCATAGTTACTAGACTTATCCAAGTGGGAGACTATTGGATTCGTGTCTAAGCCTGTAACTACATTTGGTAACTATTTGACCCGGTTGTGCATGATACTTTTGGGTTGCCTTCACCAAAGCAACATGATAGGATGATTTATGAATAAAGAGGTTATTATGATGTATTAATATGTTATATGAATAATATATTAAAAGAGAAATCATATAGTTGAATTATTACTAGAAAAGAATTAATTGAGAATTAATTTTGTGGCTAAAAGAGATTAATTAAATAAAGGGGATTGGAACTGTCAATTGTGTGATAGTTGATTTGGGCTAAGAATCCTTTGGAATTAAGGGGTGGATGATATTGAGAGTGGGAACCCATCTAATTTCGTCCAAGGCCTTTATTCTGGAAGGTTCTTTGGACTCCTTAAGGCCTAAGTTATCCCATTAGGGTTTTGGCTAAAACCCTAGCAGCCCAAGTATAAATAGACCCCTTAGGCTTTAGAAATCGGCTAAACCTACTTCTAAGAGTACCAGAACTAAATTCTAGAGCTTCCAACCTCTCTCCAAGATCATCCTCATGCTTGTGGTGTTTGTAAGCCCTTAGAGGAGTGATATTTGTGACTCTAAGCTCCAAGGACAAGAAGATTCAAGCTTTCAAGAAGAGGTAATCATCTAGATCTGTTTTGTTATGTCAATTTCGAATTATACATTAGATCTAGGGTTTGTAAGTCTTGGATGAATTGCATGTATAATAGAGAAGCCTAGATCCAAGCATTAGGGTTTGCATGAGCACATAGGATGTTATTTTGTTTATAACCCATCAGCAATGCCTACAGTACACCTAGACCACTCTCTCTCAGCATACAGCTGATCCACACCTGGGTTACAACACACTACAGGCCCGCCAAGGTATCTTAGCCTACAACATAAAGTAGGACTGCCTAAAACCACCACCCAATATGTCTACATATGTAACAAACAAGCAATAAAGTAAAAACATAAACACAAGCAACCATCAACACTAGTCTACCTATCTAGCAGCTCACTATCGTATACCAAGCCTCATATAGTACACTATGCCACTACCGATAGATCTCCAAGGAATGCATAGATATATGTAATCAAAGGTGAGGTCGACATTCGAACAGGTGATCCCACTCTTGAACCACAACCAAACAAGGAGCATGCAAGAAAGCCTAGATCAAGAGTTCTCAGGATATCCTACGTGACTACACACAACCCTTAGGAAACTCCACTAGATGATCACCAACCTATTGGTACACTAGCCAACATACCATTACTCTTATAACCTAACACAAAAGGATATACACTATAACATGTTGTATAGTGAGGAAACTTACCTGAGTTGAGGACCCCCGTAAATACATCAACACCCTTACTCCCTATGTTGGTCACTCCTACAAACCAACTAGGACAAGAAAGAGATAGATCATTAATTAATAACCCAAGTCCTTCAAGCTTGACCTAAATTCAAGCTGATCAAAAGTCAATGGTCAACAAAAGTGAACAGTCAACAAAAGTCAATGGTCAGCACAACGTAGGGACCTCTTGGTCATGTCTAGGGAATACCACGATAAAACAATCGTGAAGTAGAGAGCCACCACCTCTTGGCAAGCCCATTGCTACGTTATAGGAACTGGCAAATTGCCATATTCTTCATTAAGTGCTTAATTCTTATAAATCTAATCCCAAAACTTTTGATCTACTTTTTAATGACTTAACGGATAAATTTTCCAACTTTATCCATTAGGACTCCATTCAAAGGCTATATTTACAATCCTAAGTCCATTATGTCCTTCATGGGGCCAAAACTTGAGCATAAATACAACAGACTCGAACATGGATCCATTTTGTCATTTTACAGAACATGTTGACCACTAGAGGTCATTTACAAGCTCTAGAGTTCTTCAACTCCCAAAGCATACACTAAAAGGGACCAAAATCCTCTTAAATGAGCTCATACTTGAAAGAAGAAGAAGAATGGTCGAGATTAGAACTCTATAACTCCATCAACTCGGATTTCTAAAGAGGGTGTTGGATCCAAGCTTGCTCCTTGTTCCCTTACTTCCTTGAAACTTCCTTCTTCCTCAAGTGATAAGATTAAAATTGTAAGATCGAAAGATTCAAAACAGGTAGAAGAATCAAACACAAAGAATGAAGGTCGAAGTTGTGCTGAATGATTGAAAGGCCATGCCTTAGAAAAGCTCGACAAAGAACAGCTATTGTAAAGGTAGTGTAGGGTTACAAGATAATCGTTAGAAAACATAGTGCATGAATGCACTATTTATATTCTAACCCTAGCACAATAAAGAACCGGGTGGACAGGCCCAAACCGTTACAAATGGACTATAACAAAACAATCCAAAATTGACACAACAAAATCTAGCCCCAACAATCTCCCTCTTTGTGTCAATTAGGAAAGCAGATTCTTTATTGTTGTTGTCGCTTTTGAACTTTAAACAGCTTCGGCATAATCCCCAATAGATTTTTGCAAACATGGATGTAACAATTGATCATATCAGAAAAACACTTCTTGTCCGCAACATCGTTCGCTTTCTTCTGACTCACAAAATCTACAATATATTCTAGTCAGGAGGAGGAGTATAGATGTTTTTCTAGCAAATAGAAAAAAAACTCTGTGAAAGTTCGCATCTGGTTTTTCTCCTATCTAGAAAGCGACACACCAATCCTTCTTTCGTATCCTCCCCAACTTCATCGTATCAAGATCCTTCGGGGGCTCTTTGGGGAGAATAGTAGGTTTCTTATTCAAAACAGAGGCAATCTACACGCCTATCTTTCCAACCTCTTGGATGTAACAGACCAACATTCGTTTCGGATGTGAAATGATAGGCTCGAATTTATGTTGATCCTTCAATAGTAGAAGTAACAGAGAAATCCAATCGAATGGGTTGAGGTAGGGTAGATCTGTGAGAGTAAATTTGTGCATTGAACTCATAGCCCCACGAGCATCCTTTAAATGAGCATCAACACCTTTGGAAGCAGGAGAAACGTTCACAATCTTGTCAAAACAGCGAAACAAAAAATCCTTAGGCGTAATAAGCAGATCAAGCTGGAGATTTCTCCAATTCGAATGATCCAACATGCTCTAGCTAGTAACTATTCGGATTGTCAATGGCTTCATTCAAAATTCGTTCCAGAGTCCACAGAGGAAAGATGGTTTTTTGAGCTTTCAAGGTTTCCTCTACTTCACGAGCAACCTTTTCTTTTTTTCAGCTTCTTTAGCAACTCGCAATTTTTCATCATGTTCCTCATTGTGACTTTTATGCTTCAATTTCTCATTCTCCTCTTTTTCTTCCTCATCATCTTCATTAATCAGTTTCTCTTTTCCTTTTGATCCCGAAGATACATTACCCTTCGGATCTTTGGACTTGGCTTTTTGTTCGTGGTCATCCTCACCTTCAGTTGGTTTACCGGCACCAGAAGTCTTTACAGGTTCTCCCCCTTGTTTTGGAATAGAAGATTCTAAAACACCTTCAATACTGTCAAGCATAGAGAAGATAGGCTTCAATTTCTCTGGTAAATATTGACGAATTGAGATGTTGAGGAGATAATCATCAGTCTCGATTAGACTATGCAAATTTGTGTTCAAAGTAGCAACACAACTTTTGATAACTGCCTTCTCAGATTTAAATTCGTCAATTTTCTTATTTGTAGAAGATAACTTGATTGAGAGAACCTTCACTTTCTCAGTTTTGACAGCAAGCTCATCCATTATCTTGTTTTCAAGAACCAAATCTTCCTAGAGTTTATCAATTTTAGAGGGGATTGAAGTTTGGAATTCCGAATTGGCAGTTTGAAGCACAGTGCAAACCTTCATAAGACCTGCCTTTTCCGATTGGAGACTGGAAACAAGGTTGTTGATGGTTGAGTTTGTAGATACAGTATTGCATGCAGATGAATTGTGAAAATCCTCCATAAATCCTTGAATGTCAGAAAGTAGTTTATCAACTTTTTCGGTGGTCTCCTTACATGTCATTTCTCAATCAGCAACTGCTTTGTTTGTGAGGTTGAAATTTGCAACATGCTGGTGTGTAAGTGTTTCAAGGAAAGCTTTGACAGAAGCCTGAGAGTATTCATTGTTAGACGAGGCTTTGATGGACTCAAGTAAAGAATCCAACTTGGAATTTAGTGCCTTGAACTACTTTGTTGTCATCGGAGCATCATCTTTGTCACTCTCTGGTTGGATGTTAAAAGGACTATAAAGAAATTCCTCAAAAGCGTCCCGATCCTCACCAAATACAATATTTGGATCATCTTGATGAAGTGGTGAGATGAGAGTGAACTCTGTACCAACAAAAAAACTAGAAGCCCTTGCCCCCGTATTGGATACATTGGTTGTGACTGGTGGCAAACTTGTGGTTGTTGTCATTGTTTCTATTGAGTCTGTAAATAGAGGAGTAGATACTGGAATCGAAGTTGAGGTTGCAAAACACCCATAGAAATGTTTGGGCATGGTGAAATCATGATTGGAATATTCGTAGTGGTGGGTGATGGTGGAGTAAAATCTTGGAAGAACTAATCTGTAATTAGAACTAAAGTTGGCCTACAAAAGGTTACCTCAGGATTCGTAGATATGGGTTCCAAAACCATTTCTTGCAAAGACACAGATGTATCATCAGTTTCAAGCTGGTCTTGATCAGGTCTACGGACATCAGAGATAGTATGAGACTCCGAAACCTCCTCATCCCTTGGTGTAGGGGTCCTTGCTTTGCGAACCACTCGCTTCTTCTTCTTCTTCAGAGTCTAAGCGGGCTCGGAGGGTTCACCCTTAGTTTTTCGTTTACACCCTTACTTGGGTTTATCTTCCTCTTCCAAAACTTTATGTATTGCAGTAGTCAAGGGGTGAGGGTTGGATGTCAGTTGACTGCGATAGGCAATAATAACTTCACTATCAGCTGGAACACTATGAACCATCTCATCTAGAATTGATTCGAGAAATGTGAACTTTGAGCTATTAGAGACTATGACATTTAAAGTATGAAATATTGGAATCGCAGCAATCACCAAACCTTGTACTAGTGGAATGCCATGGCGATCGATAACTCTCTTAACGATAATAGCCAGAAACCAAGCACAAGAAATCTCAGAGTGACGAGTGACAGAAAGAGTACTTTATACCAATTGAGCCCAAAGGATAGAGCAATAATCTAAGTTGATTCCAAAATAAATACCATAGAGGATAGTAAGAAAGAGCTTAGTGGAGTTGTCTGATCTAATGGTCCTCTCTGAAAAGCTCTTGAAAAATAGGGTAAATAACCTATTCAACACGAGAGGAAAATTAGGCTTTTTAAACTTGGAAAGAATAGCAAGATACTCCCTGAAACCTATCTGGTATAACATTGCAAGCATAGCAAAACTAGAGATGGATTCTGGTTCGATCAAATCCCTAGTTGAGGGAAGGCATAGTAAACGACTGAATCGCAATTTGGTGATGGAAGTTTGCATATTATTAAGCTCAAAATACGTGGTAAAATCACTATATTCATATCATGCAGTGGAGTAAGCCTTGGACAGAAGAGACAGATGGACATGTTCTATTTTTGAAAGCGCAATATCAAAGGTAAAATGTGACAACTGTCAATTCAGGTCATTCTCGGACTCATGCATCATTAGAAAAACCATTCATGCACAACATGCCATGACCTAGTAGTATAAATTAGGTCAAAAATCTTGCATAAACTAGGATCCAACTAAGGTCTAGGACTAATATACTTGATACTTACAATTCTAGTAAGTTGCTTAGCTACAATAGTAAATGCCAATACTATAATTAGAATAAAGCTCAAGCTTTGTTATAATTGAAATAGGGTATAAAACTCTAAAAATAAATTAAAACATTCTAATTATACTTCAACATGTTGTTGAATATCAAACAATATTCCAAAAACCCTAAAGAGCCAAAAATCCAAATCTATAAATCCTAAAGCTTAAAAACTTTATAAAATTTGGCTATAAACTTCCTAATATCAAATTTTATTAATCAAATTATGGATTATACCAATGAAATAGAAATATAAATTACAAGTATTAATCATAATTTATTTGTTGAAAACAAGATTTTTAAATAAATCAAATTGCTTAATAAACATTTTATAGAAATGAATGTTTTTATATAAAATATAGGAGGGAAGTTTATAAAGTTTAAAATTTAGGAGAGAGGAGGCCTAAATGCATACAAGAGCCGGCCATCCCCTCTCCCCATGCACTCTCTTCCCAAAACTCATGATTAAACTCAAACCCACACTCCACCTCGTCTCTCTTCACTCTTCTCACTTCACTATCTTCACACACTTCACTCTCTTCCTCTCTCTCTCTCTCTCTCTCTCTCTAAACTCACGAAATTTCTCTCATTTCTCTGCCAAATTTCAAGACTTTGAAGACCTTGAAGTGTTCTTACTTCTCTCAAGATCATAACCAAGGTAAACAACATCATCTTCTTCCATAGTTTCATGATTCTACTTCTTTTCCTTCTTAGTTTTCTCTTCTTTTTGGATTCTATGCCTTTCCATGGCTAGAAATCTTTATTCTACCCATGTGGTTTGTAGATTCTCACCATAACACAATGCATGTGTTTGAAATGGTGAAAATCCAGGATCAAACCCATGCAAGGAGTGAAAAAGATGCACATATGATCATGTGACATCAAAATCTAATATTTCATGTTCTTCTCCATTTCTTTTATGTTCATGCATGACCAAAAGCATTTAAACCATTTCTAGTACATATTGGATGCTCATTCATTCCATGCATGTTATAGAAATCGGATCTTACCAAAGGCATGCATGATGTTCTTGTTGAAATACCCTAATAATGCACACAAACAAACATGCAATCTGCCAGATTACTTTGTTCGACTTTGAACGGCCATAACTCAGTCATTTCTTAACCAAATCATGATATTCTTTTTGTATTGGTTAGTTCCACGAGTTAAATTTCAAACCCAACTAATCTCACTGTAAAATATTAAATATCCGATTTTTGGCAGATTTTACAAGGTTGCGCATACAGCTCTTTTTCTGTGATCACTATTTTTATCTTGCTTAAACAATTGGCTTAAACCCAACCATAAATCTGAGGAAAAATACCTTAGAAACCTTACATATCTAGTGAATGATGGTTGAAATTTCATGGCCTAAAACCTCATGAATGGGCTACACAAATTCATGAACTTCAGCCACATTTACACTTCATGCATTATTGCCTGCAACTTTTCTTAAATTGTTTGGAATCATTACCCTCATTTCTCTTCTGAATACATTTTAAACATTTTTCCTTTTGAAATCCCATGCATGCATGAGATAATCTGGAAATTTTCAAGAGCTTTTGTTATTTCTTTGATTTATTAGAATTATTGCTAAAACCAAGGGCATAAATCATATAAAATACTTCCAAAGGTCAATAAATCCTAACTAAATTCATGGATGATCCTTATGGGGAATAATGACCCCTCACCAAATTTCACCAATTTTTGTTACTGTTTCATATGATTTCTAATTTTATTTTGTTTAGGGCATGATAAATTACAAAACCACTTTAGAGGATGTGAAAATTGTATCTAACAATTTTCGCACACCTTACCTGTGATGTGTGACTCCAGAAACTAATTTCAAGATTTTTCATCATGTCCAACTATTTTTCCCAATTTTTGGTAATTATAATGGTCTAAAATTAGGAAAAATAGTTCTGATGATCCAAAATTCATGAAAATTTACCAGGATATGATATTATACAGTAGGAGGTTACATGAAAATTTTGAGGATTGTTCTCTATTGTAAACTATTTTTCTCTTATTTTGTAAAGTTATTTGCATTAAAATACACTTAAATACACATAAATACCCAAAACCAGTTTATACATTATAAAAACCACTTTTGATATTTTTCCCAGGTTATTTATACTGTAAATGATGTTACAAAAAATTTTTGGTGATTTATTTTAACGGTTTAATATTATTTCTTTAATTAATGACTATTTAAAGGAATAAAATAAGGAAAAATAGAAATACCCACAGAAAAATATCTTTTATATTTTTTCGAGACTAGTTATGTATAAAAACAATTAAATAAAAAGTTTGACTAATTTTGGAAACTGTTTTCTATTTATTTCAATTTTTATTGGAATAAATGCCCATAAATCATAAAATCTAATTAAACAGCTTGAAAATTCATTTTTATATTTTTCCTAGCTTAGTATTGTGTAATAACAGTTAAATAAAAAGTTTGAGAATTTTTATCCCTCGAATGCTATTTTTCGTGAATTTATGTTGTTATAGAGACTTAAAATTTGGAAAATTAACCTTACAAGGTTGTAATTAATCGCACGACTTATAAAATTTCAATATTTCAGCAAAAGTGTAATCAATTAATATAAAATCCAATACTAAAACATAAATTGGCATTTCCCTATATGCAGAGTTTAGTATATTAGCGTTAGATATCGACATGGAAACTCACTAGTGTGTGTGTTTGATGCCGTAGGATCCCGATAGTAAGACGTTGGTGCATCCCGAAGTACCGCCTGTGCCTACACGAAATATCGTGAGTATTCACGCACTCCCCTATTTTCGGTTTTTATGTTTTGGGGTGGAAAAGCATGTCCAGAAAACTATTGTTTGCATGATGTATTTAAATTGTTTATTATCAAACATGATTGCTGTTGTATTGCTATGTTTCTTTATGTATGTTTATGCAACACGGAACATGGGAACTTATCATACTAAGGCCCTTCCCTTATCTCTAACCATTAACTCTTTGAGCCAATGGTCATTATGGATAGCGCTATTAGGAATTGACAACTCCTCACTCGCCCGAATCGCTGGAGTGCATGATACCATATTCATCTATGGAACGATAAGCATAGATCTCGATAGGGCTTCAGCTTGAAAATTCATTTTTATATTTTTCCTAGCTTAGTATTGTGTAATAACAGTTAAATAAAAAGTTTGAGAATTTTTATCCCTCGAATGCTATTTTTCGT